TCGATGTTCTCTAATCACGTGTTTGTGATGACGTCAAGTGTACGTGACAACATGTTCTGAGGTAATTCGCCTTTACGTTACAGTAGGTCTTAGAATGAAATGACGCACGTGATGACGATAGTTGCATTTCATCACAATTCGTCACCCTAATAATTTTTTTCCATACCAGTGTAAATAAGACATTTAATCTCATTGCGATTTGAACATGATAAATGAGAAACAGTATATTTCACACGGGCTTACTCCGAGCTTTAAAAAAATGCAATTTTAATTATCTTCTAATAGAATATTATGAGATTAACGAAACAAAGCAAAAAAGAAACTGGCTTTGGAAATACAATGCTAGAACTGTCTAGGGAAGTGAAAGGTTAGCATCTGCTAACTGGAGACCTGAACCTTTTAGATTTTCACCTTTACATTGTTTCGTTGCTTCCATTGGTAATTTTATGACATCATCCAAAAGTAAAAAGAGAAATCTCGTAATACAATGTAAAACAAAAGTGAAAATCAGGGCATTTTAAAAACTGGAACTCGACGCCACGTAACATTATTATTTTTTCACCTCTTTGAACTTCTGGAGGTGCAACTTTTCGTAATACTGGGTTCGGTGAAGCTTTTTGTTTTTCCCTATACGTCATTGTGTAATGAGTTAATGATTGGTTGAAGAGGGAAAAAAATAGTGAGGGATTAAAGTTGTCTTGGAGACCAGCCATTTTGAGTGAGTGTGTGTGCGTGAGATTGTGTTTGCACAACTCTGTCACCGGGGACAGCAGAGTTGGGTAACACTCCTGGTGGCCTACACATGAAACCATTTATCTTGAGACGAACATTAGACTCTGCAAAGTTTCGTTTCATTTTCTTATGCCGTATGCTAGGATATTTTTTTAAATATGTAAAAAAAAATGAAATACTGGTTACCAAGGGGACACGTAAGCTCAAGGGTAATTAACTGTTATATTATACTCCAGACTTTTGTTTTAACTCACTCATCCCTTAATAAGTTCACTCACTCATACACACTCTCTCATCCTATCTTTCTCTTACCGGGTACTGTTATTGAGGATGCCTGGTCGTGCAGTTTACTCGCTGGACTGTCGTTCGGACTTATCAATGGTCCTGGGTTCAAACCCTTTCTGCTCCCATCCTCCGTTGTCCCGCGGGAGGTTTGGATTAGGAGGTAAATATCTTCAACTCTGAAGGATCATCCAAACATTTTTTTATGGTCTAGGTCTTTTTCTTTCTCCCTCTATCTCTCACTTTTACCCATTCACGAATTCATACACAATCCCCCTCTCTCTTTTTTCCCCTTTCGCTAGCTTTCCCATCACTCACCTTATTTTTGGGGGGGGGGGGGGGGGGGGCTATGAAAACGTTTCTCAAACTTTGGGACTCGTCCAAGTGGGAGGAGGGGAGTGAAAAAGGTGTCTGCATAGAGACAGATGTTGAAGAAGAGATTTCAATACGTTCAATTGCCATGCGCTTCTAGAATCTATCCATCTTTCTTGCATCAGAACAGTTACATTTCTCCCTAGTGACATGCTGTTGACGTCATTTGCGTGAACAAAACAGGCCCGATGAATATGAAGATGATCTTCAAGCCTGTTAAAAAGTACTTGCTACACTGTCTCAAATTTATTTCCTACTCAGTGTCCGACCGTCTTTTTTTAACATTATATTCTCTTCCATTCGAGTTTCACCGTTTGAGGCACCTCTTAATCTCAAATTTTTTATTTTATTTTCCCTTCAAAATTTCGGCAATTTCGTGAATTTTTTAGTTTTTTTTTTAACGCAGAACAACGCTGAAATTCACTCTAAACGGTAAATCATTTTATATGGAACATGAAAATAATTCTAACAAAAAAAAAACACATTGTCATTTGCTAGCTTTCGTTTCTACTTCTGCTCATCGGTACAGATCACGTGACTTTATTATATTATTTGGCTACAGTTCTAATTTCTAAGAGTGTCTTTACAGTGTGTTTGGGGAGCATAGTTTGGTCTATAAAAGCGTACATGGGAATTTCAAAAAGGCATCGATAATTCGCGGATTTTCGGGAGAATATATGAAACCTGCGCTGACCTTATTGACTCCATTAGGACTATAAGCTTGTCTTTGTGCTTAAAACAAAAGTAACATTAATTTTCATATCGTGTTAAAAAAAAAAGATACTAGTCTCCCTTCTAGCAGGTAGGCCTACAACATTGAGTGCTGGCCGCACCAGTCTAACCTCAACCATCTCTTTCAAAATAATTTACAAATAAAAGGAATCCATTACTGGCCGTTAGAGAATGATGATCCAGAGCAAGTGAAGGGGCGCCGGCTAGAATAATTGGCACCTATCGCAAAAATGATAAATTGCCCTTCAATGCTAAAACCATGGACATTTCTTTCTTTTTTTTTTACCGTAGGGCGCTTAAAAAAGAAGAAAAGCTCATGCGTCACCTGAAATATGTTATAAAGAAAAACAAAGTTGTTTCTCGTTGGTCTTTGTTAGTAAGAATGGTAAATAATTACCTAGAAACACATAGACACCCAACTGTGGACCCGCTCTTTACAATATAGATGTATAGGCTAAAAGTTATTGGTAGTGTTGACGTGGGTGTAGCTTTTATGTTATTTTCATATTAATAATAGAGTTTGTCAAATTAGTTCTCTAGCCAGCTCCTCTTGGTTTGTTTTTATTCCAACATTGTGGTCACTTTTTCTTCATAGTTAGAAGATGGAAGGAAGAAGGTCAAAAGACAACTTAAATGATGACAAGTGTGAAATTGCCAAGTAACAGAGAGAGAGAGAGAGAGAACGAGTGAGAAGAAGAGAGAGAGAGAACGAGTGAGAAGGAGAGAGAGAACGAGTGAGAAAAAGAGAGAGAGAGAACAAGTGAGAAGGAGAGAGAGAACGAGTGAGAAGGAGAGAGAGAACGAGTGAGGAGAGAGAGAACGAGTGAGAAGAAAAGAGAGAGAACGAGTGAGAAGAAGAGAGAGAGAGAACGAGTGAGAAGAGAGAGAGAGAGAGAACAAGTGAGAAGAAGAGAGAGAGAGAGAACAAGTGAGAAAAGAGAGAGAGAGATAACGAGTGAGAAGAGAGAGAGAGAGAGAACAAGTGAGAAGAGAGAGAGAGAGAGAGAACAAGTGAGAAGAGAGAGAGAGAGAGAGAACAAGTGAGAAGAGAGAGAGGGAGAACAAGTGAGAAGAGAGAGAGGGAGAACGAGTGAGAAGAGAGAGAGAGAGAGAGAACAAGTGAGAAGAAGAGAGAGAGAGAGAGAACGAGTGAGAAGAGAGAGAGAGAGAGATAACGAGTGAGAAGAAGAGAGAGAGAGAACGAGTGAGAAGGAGAGAGAGAACGAGTGAGAAGAAGAGAGAGAGAACGAGTGAGAAGAAGAGAGAGAGAGAACGAGTGAGAAGAGAGAGAGAGAGAGAGAACAAGTGAGAAGAGAGAGAGAGAGAACGAGTGAGAAAAGAGAGAGGGAGAGAGAGAACAAGTGAGAAGAGAGAGAGGGAGAACGAGTGAGAAGAGAGAGAGAGAGAGAGAACAAGTGAGAAGAAGAGAGAGAGAGAGAACGAGTGAGAAGAGAGAGAGAGAGAGAACGAGTGAGAAGGAAAGAGAGAACGAGTGAGAAGAAGAGAGAGAGAGAGAACGAGAGAGAAGAGAGAGAGAAACGAGTGAGAAGAGAGAGAACGAGTGAGAAAAGAGAGAGAGAGAATGAGTGAGAAGAAGAGAGAGAACGAGTGAGAAAAGAGAGAGAGAGAATGAGTGAGAAGAAGAGAGAGAGAGAACGAGTCAGAAGAGAGAGAGAGAGAGAACGAGTGAGAAGAGAGAGAGAGAGAATGAGTGAGAAGAAGAGAGAGAGAGAACGAGTGAGAAGAAGAGAGAGAGAAAGAACGAGTGAGAGAACGAGTGAGAAGAAGAGAGAGAGAGAAAGAACGAGTGAGAGAACGAGTGAGAAGAGAGAGAGAGAGAACGAGTGAGAAGAGAGAGAGAGAGAGAACGAGTGAGAAGAAGAGAGAGAGAGAACGAGTGAGAAGAGAGAGAGAGAGAATGAGTGAGAAGAAGAGAGAGAGAGAACGAGTGAGAAGAAGAGAGAGAGAAAGAACGAGTGAGAGAACGAGTGAGAAGAAGAGAGAGAGAAAGAACGAGTGAGAGAACGAGTGAGAAGAGAGAGAGAGAGAGAAAGAACGAGTGAGAAGAGAGTGAGAGAGAGAACGAGTGAGAAGAGAGTGAGAGAGAGAACGAGTGAGAAGAAGAAAGAGAACAAGTGAGAAGAGAGGGAGAGAGAACGAGAGGGAGAGAGAACGAGTGAGAAGAAGAGAGAGAACAATTGAGAAGAGAGAGAGAACAAGTGAGAAGAGAGTGAGAGAGAACGAGTGAGAAGAAAGTGAGAGAGAGAACGAGTGAGAAGAAGAGAGAGAGAGAGAGAGAACGAGTGAAAGAGAGAACGAGTGAGAAGAAGAGAGAGAGAGAACGAGTGAGAAGAAGAGAGAGAGAGAGAACGAGTGAGAGAGCACGAGTGAGAAGAAGAGAGAGATAGAACGAGTGAGAAGAGAGGAGTTAAGAAAAAGCAAGGGAAAGAAAGTGTATTGCAGGGAGAGATATCTACAGAAATGAGAAAGCTAGAGAGAGTAAACGGCCCTTAATTGTTAACATGTTTCTGCTCTTGGACTAGACCACAGCTTCTCATAAGTCGGTCTACTTATCCGAAAATTGTGTTAATCGCCATCGTGGTAGTGTGTCTGAATTATTTTTTAATTAAATAAATTCAAATCATGTGTCACCTAAAACAAAAATCCAAGATTCTTTATAAAATTGTATTAATCATGTGTATTACTCCTCTACATAGTTACAACATGACAGCTTTTTTGGTCTGCTTAAAGTTTTGAGAAATATCGAACACATTAAGGTAAGAACTTTGACTTGTGTAGCAGATGCAACTGAACAAGTCCCACACAGATTTCAGAGTTACTATGGAGCATGCTTCAAATAAAATTCAATATAAAGAAAAACAATTATCTTTAAAAACAAATTTAATAGATCAATCTGTGGAAAGCGAACATGTTCACTACAGTTGTACAAATAAAACAATGTACTCGAATGAGGAAAGAATGTCACACTCCTGAAGAGTACACAACTAAAATGAATGTGGGGTAACTCATACTATGAATAAAATTAGAATTTATTGGTGGCATGTCTTTTAGCTTCAACCAGGACAATACATTACATTCTCATCCTTAAGACTCTGATTCCCACTTACTTTACTTACATTCCAAGGCTGACAAACTGACACTACACACAAGAAATAATATAAGAGATACTTTTAAAAAAGCTTGTGTAAGGGAAATAACACATTTACAGCCATATATTTCCATACTGTTAAATTGATTTCTCTTTCCTATATCATAATAATTGAGTTAAGTACCATTATTTAGTTCATTTTTTAAAATTGATTCCTATCAGTGATGCCCAACCTAATTTGATCTACAGGTCATTTTAATTTCAGACACTTGTGTCATGAGCCACATTTCTAGGTGTAGTTTAAAAATATTTTATTCGCGGCTCAAACCAAGAATGCCATCCTATTGTTTTATAATGCTATTTAAGTAATATTTTTTTTAAAGTCACACTTTTTTTTTTAGAAAACAAATATGTTGGCTTAATGGCTTATAACATGTTCCACAAAAAAGTAAAAATCATGTTCACTTTTCCTGGTAGATTCTACATTCAGAATTCCATTTCATAAACACACAAATGTATAAGGTCATGGTACCAATCCATTAGAAAAATAGTGAGGGCCCTAAAGTAGATAAAAGATATATTTTTCAACCTTTTTTTTTTGAGGGTGGGAATTTTCTTCACCTTGTGCTAACGTTTTGGCGGGCCATATGGAACCAAATTGCGGGCCATATGGAACCATGTCACAGGCCAGGGCCGTATTTTGGGCATCACTGATTCATATTTTGTTAAGGAAAATGAGTAATTGCGCAAAGTTCTCAACTTGATCTGAAAAGGGAAGTGTGAGAAAAAACATGTATTAAAATTTGTACCAGACAGACAGAAAAGTTTTTGTAAAGATCTGTCCTTAATCTAATTGTGTTTGTGCTAAGTAACTTCTTCTTCTTCTATCTCATGCTAAGTAAATAACAATAATGACCTTATTTTGTGGCATGAATCAATTCAAAGCAAACATTCTGAAGCAATTTACTCTTAAAACTGAAAATAGAACCATTAATTTTATTTATATTTACAAAAAATCATGTTCTGTTCAAGTGTGCAATAAAAGCAGTGAGAACTCTGTTATTCTGATATTGAATTTTGATGTTAGGACATGTTTGATTCTTTTTGAAACTTTGTAAGACCAACCCAATGAACTTTGTATACATCTGAATTCTATTCTTTTTTTTTCTTGCATTGAAAATATACTCAAAAATAATATCTAGGCTAGAAGAAAATGCAAAACTGACCACTTGGTCTTCTAAAGGACTACGTCTAATCCTATTTGTAATGATGTATGGATAGGGTCCAGATACAAAATGTCCTTAAATAGTTCTTGAACTATTGTATTGTAAATAATCTAAATGTATATTTATGTTGCATTGAGAAACTGATACCATAAAGTGCAAATTTAAAAGGACATGTAGATTGCACTCTTGCAATAGTGACTGTAATGTGGGTAGACTGGCTGAAGCAACATCTTTACAATATATTGACATGAATAAAAAAAAAAGTTAAAATTTCTACTTCAGTAAAACCAATTTCACACCAACAAAATTTACTACTGTTTACATCTGAAACAAACATTTTGTATTAAATTGTAACATTAGTTGCAATAGTTCTAATGACTGTGTATAGATTTTTTTAAAAAGTGATATTGAAACTGATATGTTAGTTTACAAAAATTATTATAAACCTTCATTGACCATACAATTTACAATGCAATACATAAGAAATTTTCCATTTAATGTGGTTCTTATATAAATATTTTTTAAATGGTCTGATATTTTTTTAGCAACACAGCTAAGTGAAGAAAAGAAAAAAAAATGTTTGCGCTGTAAGTATGTATAGATAGAGTTTCTTATAATTAATTAATGAAAAATGAGTAGGCCTTAGCAGAATTAATATGAGCTACATTGATGGTTGTTATTAACAAAGATAATAATGCAATTGTAAGCTGAAATTGTAAATAGACTTAACTGACACAGGCACTTAAAATACAAAAGTCCAATCTTTTCTATCTAAAATATATTGATAACCACATAAAAATTTTAAAACATTCTTTCATACTTTTGGTGACCAACGATACAAATTGTATTTGTTACACCCAGTTAAGCAGCACACATATACACCGCACTGTAACTCATACATAAAATAGTAATGAAGAAATTCAAACCAACAATAAATCTTTTTTTTTCCAAAATCAATGGACACAATTCAATAAAGATTTACAAGAGAGCATCATCAAGCACAACAAATATCATTAAAAACTAGAACAGCAATGTCAAGGGAACAAACTGGAATATAACTGAGGTTCAGATCCGTCCTGTCAGTGTTTATATACATGGAACAGCTGCCATTCTTCTATTTACTTCTTTTGACCTTCAACAGAAACCAAACAACTTAAAAGCATACAACAAGTCCATGGGAGGTCACTTGAGTTTGTTGAGATGTTCAATGAAATGGGATTTACTGATAAGTTCTGGATTTTCCTGATCCTGGTCAGGATGAACTTTGACCCCAGGTTCCCAGCGCCAATGCAACAATGTTTTCTTGCAGTCACTGTCAACAGAAAAATAAAAATTCGCCTGAAAATTTAATCTATTAGAAGATTAAACAGAAAAAGAAACAACAAAGGAACTACAATAAAATTAATTCTTTTTATACTACAGTACATCAATGTTCCAGATTAATTGGTAACAGGAAGTGCCCGGATAATCAATTGTCCGGATAACTGAATGTGAAGTATAAACGATCCATTTCACCAATAATATAAAGAAAATTCATGTAGGGCCATATCTGACCATATATAAACATGGGAACAAAGGGTTATATGTAGTAGCCTAACATTATTGAGAGAAATATTCACTGATCTTCACCGCAAGACCACCTAGATAATGCCCTGTACACCAAATAACTGACATCCGGATAAATGATGTTCTTCTATAATTTACAGGCAGCATAGTGTTGCAGTTTTAGTATGCAAGTCCAGTATTTTTTTAATACAAAACTTGATGTCATGTAACATGGAGTTATATTGTTGCACACCTTCTGAGAGTTTTAAGTGTAAGAAGTTTGGCTAAGTCAACTCAAGAGAAGTTTATTTCAAAACAGCAAAACTGTCAACACTAACAACAATCTGCATCTGTATTTCTATGGTCAATTGATTAAAGCTAGTTGATAATGACTAAAATGGTAAAGAATGAAAACAGCAATGTAAAATATATGAAAATTATTGGTATAAAGAATTAATAATTTATTTGTTATTTTTCAATTACTGTTGGCATGGTAATTGTAAAAATTATTTGATTAAGAGAAAGGGACAAACTTCTAGCCCTCTGAGGGGGAGGGGGTGGTCTTATTTTTATGGAGAAATCATAGTTTGTGAACAAAATTAGCTGAATATCTAATATTAAATAAAAGGTACATATTGATCTTTTATCCTATTTGTATATTATGTCCCACAGACTCTGATCTCAAATTTTATCATACGTAAATATAGAATGAAAAAGGGTTGTACCAGGTGGGAGGGGCGATACATGCAATCGCCTTCCGCCTATCGGACAAACCAATACTTTTTTCTTTTAGTTGAGAAATTACAAAATTGAATATAATATGTCACTAATATAATTTATATATGCTATAACTTAAATTCTTATATCGAGTCGCGCAAACCCCCTATTCTTTAATTCCAAATGCAATTATTTGCAGAAATTATAAAAAGTAGCAAGGATTAACGTTTTCACTCTACCGCCCTCTCCCCTTTCCAGACAAAAACAGAATAGTCAAATATGGCAACAGAGTTTATGTAATTGCACACCGTTTATCTTAGTTATTTTAAGAATGACTTTGTTTTGGAAAATTTAGAATTCATACGAAATTTCATTATTTGTCATTATAAGAGTAACAATTGAGATGAGTTCTGAACCCAAATATTACTTTCCTAGTCACCTTTTTCCAACCTTTACTCATACTGATATTTTCTAATGTATAAAAAATTTTGAGACTATAACTCACAATTTATACTTGAATCCTAAAAATGCAAAAAATTTAGAGTAGAATCTAATTGGTTCACTTAATGTCTCCTCCCACTTCCGAAATTTTTTGTTTAGAGCTTTGAATTATAGTTGTATAACAAAACAAAGTTACAAACATGCCTATTGAACAAAATGTATCACTAACAATTGAGCTTTTTTTTTTTTTTTTTTTAAAATTTTCAAATATTTTTTTTTGGCGGAGATCCTCAAAGTCTTAATTTAAATATGTGGGGTATCTTATCTTTTCAAGGAATAAATCGGTTGTATTTGCAATGTAGAAAGGGCCTGTAAATTCATATGAGAATATTTTTTAAGTAAAACAATTTTCAAAAAGGTCCTTTTTGAATAGGATGAATAATGAGCTGTTGATGTCAGGAGAATGCATTTCTTCTGCGAAGAATGCAAGAAAATGCTTCTGGCATCTCGGCAAGGCCCAAGACCTCACCAGGGGAGCTTACAGCGCTTCCCCTAGCTGTCAAGAAAAAGGGCTGTTTTTTTTTTTACCAAAGGTTGAGAAACACTGTTTTTTTTTTAAATTCTAATATATGCACACACACACACACACATATATGCTATATGCGCGTTTTTGCTTAAGTTTAGGATTTACTGGGCGTTAGGGCTTGGAAAAAAATCACCCCCCCCCCTCCAAATTTCTGGATCCGCTAGTGTGTTAAGGTTATCTGTTTCTTTGGCAACAGTTGACGAGCAGGGTGTCATGTGGCCAGCCCTTTACTTTCTTTTAGTCTAGAGTAGCATAAATACATTAATTCAAGTTTAATTGAGGGTTTTGGTGTTACATGATGATCAGATCACTCACCTCCCATCCCCTAAGTGCACATATACTTTTAATTTATGTAAACTACATGTCTTCATAGACTGGAACCAACCTGGCTGTGGCTCTGGCCTCTGCTGGACACTCATACACAGACTGTCTGGTCTTTGTGTTGAACCAGTAAAAGTTGCCTGTTGATTTGCTGATACACTTGGTCCATGGTTCTAAATAGAAATACAATACAGCACAGTAGCAAGAAGAAAGCAAAGAAAAAAAAAGGATTTTGACAAAAGATGGTCTCAGTATTAGTAGTCTTACTCTTCATCTGGCAACACAACATCTACAGCTTATTCTGGCATTCAAGCAGATTTATTCTCCCTCAAAAGCTAAGGTCTGATGGCTTTTTCAGTGCACAGACCAAATGTTTGGAACTCACTCCCCTTTGATCTCAGAGAAAACATGTTTCACTACACTCAAGAAGAACATTAAGACCTAACTGTTTAAAACTTTTAAAAATTAGTTTGTCATATAAGCCCTCGTGTTTATGTTTGTAATGCTATAACAGTGCCTTGAGTCTACATTTTGTTTGTTAACAGCGCTTTAAAAATAAAATTATTATTAAGTGAGCAGGGTAGAGGGGAAATGCTTTATTTCTAAACACTGTAGAACAACACAGGAGCAGATCAATTAGTCACCTTGCTATAGTTGTACTAATTAATGTGACTTGGTTGAATATAGAGCATCAAAGTAAACACACATAAACACCAATTATCAGATGACCAGATGTGCAAGAAAAAGTGTGAACATGACTGTAGTGAGAGATTTACTATGTAGTTGACCAAAGAGTTGGTCTGAGATTCTAGTTGGTCAGTCTAATAGTAATGTAGTCAGAATCAAGCTAGTAGCTATGTAAGAAGTAAGTGAACCAAATAATCATGTCAGCGGTCAAGTAAAGAAGTCAAGGGAAGTAATAAGAGAGCAGTGCCATAGAATTGTGTGCTGAAGTAACATTGTATAATTCAAGATATGGAGTATTATTGTGGCTCATCTATTCAACTATATTCCTCATATTTGGATTTATATTGCACCATTGGTACGTTATAAATAAATGTAAATATACATCACATTCAAGTATTCAAGAATCCAGTTTATTATGTTACATTCGCAAATAAGAAAGTAGTTTGTGGAATTGTAGTTGTCCAGTCTCCAGATGGCAATATTACACATAAAAGTAAATCCTACTATGTCAGTAATGTCTTGATGCTTCCTAGCATTGGCAATAACATAGGAGCAGATGAAGTGATGCTAACTATTAAATCATTTATAATGTCAATAGTTAGTTACGTATACACAAGAACTT